AAACCTTTCATCTCCTTTTCTTCATATGCTCTTTTTAATGCTACTCTTCCTGTTCTTGAAGATATCCAGTGCACCCACGTGCTCATTCTCCCAGATAAACCCCCTCCTAAAAGTTATTTAAAACAAGACCAGCAATATGGGAAACACCAAATTCATGATGCTTTCTTCAGTGTAACACCCATCTAAGCCCATATTGGTGCCTTACTAGGTGCTGTGGACCATTTCTAGGACTTCCCTCCCTATTGGACATGACTTGGGAAAAAAAAAAGCGTGGAAAGAGATGACTTGATGCCGTCCAGAAGTCATTCTGGCTCCTCATTCTTCCTGCGCTTTAATTGTAAAATGTCAGTTATGTACAGGTTCAAAATAGCTGCCTGTGAAGTAATCATTAAAAATATATATTAACATCTTTAAAGGGATGTATTTAAGCTCATGCAAATTTGATGTCTCGATGCAGAACTTTCCCTAGCTGCATATGTAGCATTTACAGAACATCTTAACACAAATGCCTTTAATGCTCTCAGTATTTTTTGTTCTATCCCAGTGCTTCAGATTCTGGAAAAGGAAAGTAGCAAAACTATTCATACTTTAGAATAATTGTTTTTAAGAAAATAGATACAGAAGATAAATAATCATTGCTTAGAAGCTGATTTGGGGCAAAGCCAGCTACTGTGCCTCCAGCGCTGCTGCCACAGTAGTGCTCCCGGGCTGGCCAAAGCCTGCTCCTAGAATGACACCCGGTGGCCACCAAAGCGAACAGCACAGTGTGATCCTTGCCCTCCAGCCTTCCTGCCTGTGCTCAGGGGCAGGAGCCATCATTGTTTTACAGCCAGGCATCAGCTGGAAATTCTCCACAGGAGTCTGCAAAACACAGGGAAACCCTGTGTGAATTTCAAATTAAAATGCATGCAAAGTTTGAGTAACACATAGTGTTTTGGTTAATTATGCATCATTTGATTTTTCTTTTTCATGGAGTTGCATGCGACTAATAACTAACGGTTTCACAATTCTCAGAATGAAATTTCTTGTTTAATTCTGGAAACAGCTAGCAGTAGGTGAGCAGCATTTCCAAAGTATGACTGTGCAAGTTCAGGATTAAACCATAAGTTGCTATCCAAGGCAGGGAAAATTAGTTTGCCTATTCTTAAATGCATTTATTCAATTTTAAATTATGGGATGAAGAAAACTAAATTAGAGAGAGACATTGCTGGGCTTTAAATAATTTTGAACAAAGTAAAACAGTAACAGTGTTTCAACGAGTCATCAAGTTTCAAGCAAGGAATCACACTCTAGAAAAACAATTGGCAACTGAAAATCAGTGAGAGTTAAGAGTTCCTTGACAAATATTTATTCTGACTAAGTACTATATGAGTCAGAGCAGAGCTTTTCTTAAGTAAGAGTCTACTCAAAAATTATTTTATAATATTTTCTAAAGAATAATAAATACAATGTTTTAATGGAAAAAAAAGCAAGAGCATTTTTTTGTTGTTACATTCTTAGGACTTCTGGAAAGTGAAATGGAAACAGAATATTTATTACTAGTCAATTTTATTTTATTTCTCAGATCAGAGTCAAAACTCCTGTGATGCCCTAAGCCTCTTTATAGTAGCTAGGGGTATCACAGAAGACAACTCTGCTTTTTCCCTTTGCAGAAATATCTGTTTTTTCTGCAGTAAGTACAAAGTCAAGTAAATAAAGCTTCACAGACACCCTCGCACAATGGAAATTTTTAAGACAATGTCAAATCTGTGGCTGCTCAGGTGACTCTTGTACCATGACTCTCATTTGGCACAGGTTTAATGGAGGTGGTGGGTACGTACCTAGCCATTACACCTCTGAGCCCTGAAAACTGGTTTACTGCTTTCTCATCTCAACTGTGCCTCAACATCACTGCTAAAGAAAGATAAGTGTTAAAACAAGAAAGATAATTGTTTCTATAAGCATAATGAAATTATTCAGTACTTTGTCTGAAGTAATAGTTTATTAAGAAACATTAGCATACAACATCTGAGAGAGATTACCACTGAACACACAACAGCACACACAAGGCAGGAGTAACAAACTACACCAGTCTGGAAACAATGACAAAAATGTGTCACTTATCAGTAAGTTATACACGTGCTCTTGCTGGCCAACCAAGTATGCAAGAATTTAAAGCTTGTGGCAGATCCAGTGACTGCATGAAACCTAAACAAATATGAAGCATAGCAATGGGAAGAATGACCACCTACTGTATTAAGTTTAAAGTCAGATATTGCCAAGAGACATGCAAAGCTGTTGGAGTATGCACACAGCTAATCCTTGAGATACCATGGAACCAGACCAAAGATAGCACTGGGAAGGCAGATGGAGGGTTAAAACACAGCCTATAAACTGCTGCCAGCTGCCAGAACTGAGCTGGCATTCAAAGCTCTGTGTTCCACAAGCAAGGCTGGGACTGAGCAGCCTTTAGAGAGAGACTAGTCCAAGCACCTACTTTGATCTTATTCTTTCGTGGATACAGTTATGTTTTGCAACAGTTGAAAAGCTTTTCATTTTTCAGTTCACTTCCTTTTTGTTTGCTGAAGAATAGAAACTCATTATTTGCAGGGAAGTATAAACACTAATTGCCAAGGTACTACTATATTTTGTACTCCCTCTTCCACCTGCTCCCTCATGCCAGATTTCTGTTTTAAGCCAAATTATGGTTTAAATGTATGAGAATCAGGTATGGGAAAACAACAGTTTACAATATCAGTGTAAACCAGATATAAGGTCCTGAAAGCCCAATAGCACAGCATGGTATTTTAGACTAATGTATTTACACCCACACCAACTACCATTATGTATGTGCTACCATCTTTATACAACTCCACATATATACTGTATTAGGGTTAAAAGAAGTACGACTGTGGACTAGGAACTTGATTTGAGAAGGCTGAGCAATCCCATAAAGAATCAAGAACAATCTCAATAATAGTATTTTGGTATGATGGTTCCTTCCACGTATTAACACAAAACGTGCTGTGGAATAAAATTTGTTCCATGTGACAGAAATGCTACTTGCATGTTATTTTAAGTTCTACCTTTCCATCTTCCCTGCCTTCCTCCTCTGTGAATTTCAAAAGTCAGAGAGGAGAAAAATCAAACACACCCATGCGCAGTCATCCTGACCTCCTCCCCAAATCCCAAGATTTGACATTCCAGGTTCTAGAAGTGAAGGTATAAAAGCAGAGAAGCAGAGGTAATCACCATCCTCAAGCCCACCATAGGCAGACAAATGAAAAACCAACCCAAACCAGTCACATGCCTGCTGTCTTCCGAGCTCATTCTTAACTCCTAGAAATGAACCATAAAAAGTCGCTTCATAGCAAACATTCAAGGTAAAATCTCTGCTGATGTTCAGTTGCTCCCTCATTATATTGCCTTCAGCAAAAGCCTTCTTTTCTGGTGATCATTTTTCTCCAATAGTTTGAACAGTCACAACCCTCACACTTTTTAAATTCTGACCATTAATTAATCTGGTGAGATTTTGCAAAGTATCTAAATTAACTCCTGTGTAGTTCTGACAGCAGTGAAATTTCTTACTTCTTTGTGAAGGCTTCTTTCATTTTTGGCATAACATTTACATTCCCAAACTCGACCGAAACAGTAATAGCTGGTCTTGGCATTCACTGTGACTCTGGCTCATACATTCTTTCGTGTACTTTGTTCTAAAGAATTCCCTCTGGCTGCTTCTTTTCAGGGCAATTTTGCTTTTAATTATTGTTCCATGCCAAAATACAAAAATATATTGTTACAGAGGCATGAGATCAATGTATTTTGATACCTTGTAGGATAATTTAGAATAATTTGCTGATGATAAAAACTGTGGGGAGTGACTGATACACCTGAAGGCTGTGCTGCCATTCAGCAGGACCTTGATGGGCTGGGGAGTTGAAGATCTGCCTCTATTTTGCCCACCAGGATATGCTTTTCTTTTTATTCTATGCTGAGCTGATGACATTGCTCTTACAATACTTAATTAAAATAAACAAACAAAACAAACTGTTTTAATGGGGGAGTGGTAGCGGGGAGAAGACAAGACAAATGAGTCAAGTAGGGATAACAAAGGAGAAATTCTTAAGGTCTGAGAAGCAGTTGTATTAAATCTGCAGCAGAAAGCCCACCCTTAGTCCACATGAGTGTGGCTGTCATACATAGCTCTTGTAAACACTGCAGGGATCTATTTATATGCATATCTCTAAAAAGTTCAAGGGTAAAAGACATCTAAGTTTTGCAACACTGACCCTCAAAGTAAATATATAGAAGGAATTAAAATCCCTCTAGCATGATACCTTATACAATTTGAAATCCTCACATTCATTTGTGGGGATAACAAGAATATTAATTCTTCATTATACATTCTTGTTCTACATCATTTTCCAGTATCACTCATTCCTACAAGTAAACTAGAAATGAATAGCATATCTTTTGTTTGATGAACAGAACTCAAGTAATTATTTTCTTTTTTATAAAGTTTACAATTAGAATAATTAAAGGTTAAAAATTTTACTTCTGGGTAAGCATGAGGTTGTCACTGCACTTCAAGTAAGTTTTTTAAAGTTATACAGATTTACAGATCCAATTATAAAGGAAAAGGTGAAAGAGACTGAGCCTCTCGTGTGGCAAAACCAGAACAAACTCTTCATACAGTCATTTGAACTGCTCTGGAAACAAGCACGTAAAAGTAGAAGAAATAGGCTTTTAACAAATTAGTAGGATAAGTCAAATGGAAAATTACAAAAGTCAAGGAATGTTAGTTTTATAGGAAGTTGTGTTCTATTGAGGATCTGGATTGTGCAAATAAGGTTTTATTTAGTGAATGTACTTGTTTCCCCTCTACTAGCAGCTCAAATGACCGTATAAATAGCAACTATTAGGAAATGCAACTGTCACTTTTAAAAAGACCAGTATTACCATCATGACTCTACAGGGAAAAATCATGTAAAGTCATGAGTAAAAATGTCAGGAAAGCCAGCCTTACACTATACTCATTTTTTCACAGTAGAAGAAGGTGGGTATCTGTGACATTTGCAGATAGGCAAGCAATGCAACAAGGGAGGGGAAAACTGTAATCATGGGATGCTTAACTGCAAATACAATGTATAATCCAAACCAGTTAGTAGGGACAAAATCTTTTGGCTGTTATTGCTGGCCTAAATCCTGAGAACCAATGAGAAAAGAAAGACAGGAGAAATTAAGCATAGGATTCTAGGATAGGGACTGTTCAAATGGCAATCCACAATCTAGGTTGGGCTGTGAGCGAACTTTGCTATGCCAGTGCATAACATCTCCCATATTCCTTTGTGAAACATGAAAAGTCCATTGTCAGGATGGATAGAGCATACCAGTTCAGCTTCTGGTTGGCATCAGGGACCTGAGTCGTTCAGCAGGACACAGTACACACAGTACTACTGAGCAGAAAAAAAATAATCAAGAGCTGCAGGGAGGTTGGTGGAGAAGTGCCTTGCCTTGTTTTAAAATCTACAAAATATGGACAACGAACTCCCAACTCGTTTTTTTTCAAAGCCCTACTGAAACCAAAGGCTTGTTTCCCTAAGGTGGGCATTAGGTGCATTTTGAAGCTATAGCCCTAAGTAATACAATATTTCATATTGCAACATCCAGTTCTTTGGCAGACAGGACAGACTTCTCAGCCATTAGTGAAGTGCTACAGCTGCCTGTAAAATTAAAGTAGAAGTCTTGAGATACATATATATGTAAACTACAAAAAAAAAACCAAAAAAACCCAACCAAATCCTGAAACAGATGCACTGTGAACCCCAGAGACTGACCACCAGCTTGGCACCGAGTAAGGTGGTACTATTAATACACATAAATTAAAACATACATACTTTTATGCTTTTCTATAGCCTGCCCCCAGAGTGTCACAAACATCAATGTTTGGGATACTGATGTCCTAAAACGCTGCCAAATATTCCAGCCAGGTGATCTGCAGGAGGTCAAACTCCTCCTTTCCCTCTTAATCCATGAAAAGGATTGGTTGTCCTGTCCACTGTAACCTTCACTTCTCCTGAAGTATGAGCACACTGTGAAAGCTAGGAGGCAAGGGCATTACTTAAACTGTTTGTCACTTGGCTATTAGCAGGCCACACTGAAGGCACTGACATTCATGTATAGCAGCACTAGATGGATGTCTCTGCAACTGTTTTGAGGCAGCTGGCAATATCTAAATGGTGGCTGTAGTTATTCAAGTTCCTTTGATGACCTCAGGAGTGATCAAATTTACCCTTAAGTTACATACAAATAACTTCAGAATACACAGTGGGTCAGAGGAAATGCAATTCATGTTTGTGCTGCTTGTACCAGACAGAAATCACTGAGATTTGTTCCAAGTGACTGATGGTAGACTTTAATGTAATTTTGAGAAGACACAATATTCCCATTGAATACACAGAAATAGAAGGAACTTATGTTTCTGAACATGGTTAGAAATGGAAAACCTGGTACTTAGTGAATAAAAACAGCTGCCTCCACTAACAGTCTTCCTGATGAAATAGGGCCATGTTCTTACCTTAGGTAAGCTTGTGCATACCAACCATCCTGATAAGGTTGAATTGATATGATCATTCACACATAGGCCTGCTCAAAGCTGGATCTGTGAAACCTTAAATCTACCTTTTTTCTGTAGAAAAAAATAATACAAACAAACAAACAAACAAAAAGGCAAGCAAACAAACAAACAAAAAAACCACATGAAAACACATAAACCAAAAATTACTCTTCCAGAATGAGTTCAACCCAATGTTGAACTATCACAATTCTCAGTCAAAAGCCTTTCTCCTTTAACAAGGGCAACACTGTTTTCAGGTATGACACTGATCTTTTCGGTCTTTATTTACCTTAACATATTAGAGGGAGGAATTAGGTATGGCGTCTAGAAGATACCACTCTGGGGAGGAAAGAAAGAAAAAAAGAAATTAAAAACACACTGGATTTTTTTTCCCCATGCAATTTTGGTGACAAAGGTCTATGGTACATGTGACAAATCTACAAGCTTTGCTACAGCAATGTCATTATGTGTCATGGCATTCTACATTTGACATTTATTGAAGTTGTCTTCCTGGAAACAGAGCAAAAAGATTGCATCAGTTCACAAGAAATCACAACTCTTCAATGGAAAATACAATTAAATTTATTTTTACTTTTAAAATTAAGCATTATGGCCTTTCAAATAAATTAAAAGAAAATAAACTGCTCAGTAAATTGTAATACACATAACTAACTAAAAGAGACTACGGGCTTCAAAAGCCTATAATTTTGGTGAATTTTTAATTTAAGCTACCCAAAAAAACCCCTGCTAATACTCCAAGCATGATTTAAAAACACATAATACTAAGCAAGTATGTAGTTAGATTCATGGAGAATGAATTTCATGCATTCTCAGCACGTGACTGAATTGAGAGGTTAACAGTATTTCTTTTTAAATAAATGACCACCTGGTTATAGCTTCATTTGAAGGAAATGAGTCATGAAGCAATGACATCATGAAAATGGCTGACTGTCATGCAGGTTACTTGGGATACAAAATGCTACAACACATATGGAAACATTACACTTAAGTACTTTGTGATAAAATAAATTTGGGAACAATCCAGAGGACAGTCTCTTGTATCCCTCCAATCCTTTAATTGAAATACAGACAATGCCTACAAAAACTACAGATAAAAAATATGGGGATGATCAGGTAAATTTATTTATACACAAGGAAACACAGAAAAAAAAGTAACATCTTAAGCATTTGTTAAGAATACTGCACCCCCTCACTAAAACAAGTTTCTGACACTCATGACCTATTTTCCAGATTTTAAATTATAAAAAGAGTCTTTTGGTACTGACTATATATTTAACATTCAATCAAAATCTTTAGAGGAGGAAAAAAGAATCTATTGTGAATTCATCTTTGGGTTAAACATTCTGCTATAATAGCAAAATACATTATTCAAAGTTACTTTTATACATATATGCTATATATATATGCTAAATATATCTCTAAATATTTAGCATTAAAAGTACCATACTATAAACTCATGACCAAGACAAAAATTACCATTTCTTTGGCTGTGGCCAAAGTATCATAGGAAGAGTTCAGCCGAACTCTTTTCCAACAGATTTGTTCAGTCTTGTAATTATGTTTTTCAAGATATCAATCCATTCTGGTTTCCTGGACTTCATTAGTCTTCTGTATCCATTTTTATACCAGTTCCACTGCCCTCAGTTCAATTATTCTCCATTCACTGCTCTACATATCAAGCCTCAAGTAACTGTAAGTCAGATCAATGACTCAACCATGTAAATCAATCAAAGTTACACTGCAGATCGTGTAAGAGATCTGTCTTTTATGCTTCACTGGAGCCATGAAAATAATTTGAAGGAGAGAAGGACAGTTACAATAGGACACCGATAACTTCCACTGAAACCAATCATGGTACTGACTGTACTATGAGATGATACACAACATGCATGCAAAATTGGGTATGCTGATCTTTAAGCTAGGGCAGACTCATACAACTTCATTGGCTTCCAGCTCAGGGGTTGGTAATTCAAACTCACACAAAACAAACTGAAGTACAGGTAGTTTGATTTGATATAAAGAGATTTGATTTCCACATAAGTTCTTTTAACCAAGGAGTTTATTTAGCATTTCTTTTTCTACCCTGACATTACATTCAGCCAGGTATGAAGCCTCTGTACATGGAAACCACATTCATGGGAAGTAGCCAACCAGTATTAATTTCTGTAAAATTTTCACCAAAATAAAAAAATGTGTTAGAAATAGCTCCCAATATCCAGTGATGTTCATATATGTACACACATAAAAACATACACATACACACCAATTCCATTCCAACTGTTTAGCATACATCTTAGGAAAGACTCCCAGAGGAATCTTCACTGATAGAGATTATGGAAATATTATATTCCTGCTTGCCTTTATTCCTTCTCCTGGAAAATACATCTTAAAGTTCAGTCTTCTTGCCCACTGAGCTTTTGACATTTTTTTTCAAGTTGATGAAAGATACTGTAGTAACCGGGAAGACACACAAGGGCCGAATAGTATCTTACTCATTCCTTAGTCTTTGAAACAGAAATGCCCCCATGAGCAACACGTGAGCTCAAGATTTTGTATCTGCCTGGATCTGTTTCTGTCATGTAAATGGCCACATATAGACACAGCCTTGACAACAACCACGTGAGACTCTATGAAGCAACAAACTCATCCATCGCAGATAACTGCGATCACACCTAAAATTTCTGAATGACGTTGTAGAAGATCAAAGGTTATGATTAAATGAAATAACACTGGACCATGGAATAGTCCACAGAATATTCTCAGGTAGCAGCAGCCTTCCTCATTGTGACTGTAGAAAATTGTTCACATTATGTTCACATTTCTTATTGCATATCTGACAATAAAAATAATTAAATTTTAGCGAACATATATTGTGGTTGATATTACCAATGCTGAAAATCATACATGAAATGCAGCGACTGATGCATTTGACATGATAAAAGCAATAACTATACTCATGTTATGCAACCATATCATTTTTAGTCAGTAACTTTAGACTTTAGGAATACATTCTAAGTACATTGCCACAGAAAGTAAATTTTAATTTAGAAAAGAGCTATTAATAATTAGGACATCTCCCCTTTCCCCCACTACCCACAGTTGTTACAGTTTGTGGTTGTACTACAGACCACTTCAGTTAGCAGAGTTCTGCTAAGAGCTAGAAGGGGGCACAAGCATTATCTGCCAGTCACTGCTTGAAAGGCTATGAATGATCTTGCAATATCAAGTTAGTGGATGCTCTGTAAGACACTCTTAACATTCTTAACAAAACAAACTTTATGCAAGTGCATTCAGAGATGAGATGCGTGAGTGCCTTAAGACACAGGATATCAAATTAATAATTTGTTTCAATCTTGACGAGTACACTACAAAAGGACAATTCCAGAAGAATTCACAGTCTAAAAATAAAATGTCATTATGTGCAAACAGATTAGGGGTGAAAAAAATTCCCGAATGTGGAATAGAATTTACCAGGTCAGCATCAGAGGCCCAGCCACCTCTACAAGCCAGTCATGGTTAAAAGCACACTCAGACACGTGAACTTGAACAATTTTACTTGATGTATATAGACCTATTACATCCTTAGATATACATCCTCAAGAATTAAGGATGTTCTTCAACACACTGTTTATCTCCCAAATGTGTTTGTTAACCAACCAACCAACATAAATTACTTCCTTATCAATTTTTGGTAGAACTAATGAAGTGAACACTGCCACAGAAGAAAAGATGTACTTGAAATAGTGCTGATTTTATGCTTTTTACTCATTCTATGAGCAGAGAAAAAGGCTCAAATATTACATAAGGATGGGACATATGGCAGAAACTAGGGACTACAATGTGCTACCACAGACTAACACAGACTACACCAATTAACAGGAAAAGGATACTTGGGATCTTGAATACGTAATCTGTTGTGGTGTCAGAACTATTTGTTTGTAGCTGTTCCATTATTTTACAGTTGGGAAAATGGTTACTGGTGTAATACTATTCATGCATAAATACTCATATATTATCTGGTCCTGAGATATCAAAAATATCCCTTCAATCTCTTAAAGGGAGTGATATCAAAAAGGCATCTGCAGTAAGTTTTTCAGACATGTTGGAAATAAACTATTTGCCACAGAAAGCATGGAAAATTCCACCACCTTCCTCTAAATACTGGTAATATTACTTAATAGGAAGCACTGAGTCACTGAAATTTATTTCATATCCAGGAATGAGTCTGGTAAACAGGTAGGTCATCTGTTTATGCAGAAGGACACTTTGGGGGGGAAAAAACCCTTTAGAACTTGTTTGGTGAGGGCAAGGAGGTCAGTTTGTTCCCAGTACCCAACCTGCTTTTTCCAAAATTCATTATCAAAGAGAAAAATAGAATACTCCACTTCTGAGTGGCCTCACAAAAAAAATCTCTACCTAAAAAAAGAGTCAAAGTTCAGACTGATTTTTTTTTTTTTGAAAGAACTGTATTCACAGCCTAACAATGGCCCTTAGACATACTAAAAATGAATGGAATAAAACTGATGCAGCCTGCTGCCTAAACTGAAAATGAAATAGAGGATGAAACAGATGAATATTTCTGTCTTAACTATAGCCTGTTTTCATAGCACAGCAAATTACTGTTCTTGATTTTGAATGTCATCTAACAGATCTACTCAGGATAGATGTGAAGTTCTGAAAACCAATTTTAAATTAAAAGATAAATACAACCACAAAGAATTGATTCTGGCAAACAGGCAAATAATATGCAGCACATTTATTCTAAATACTTAATTAACCACATACGTGCATGTGCACACAAATCCAACAGGTGGAATCAAGATGATAGAGCAGCATGTGTCACTCACGAAAAAAATAAGTAATTTTATAGCTTTGCTATACAGTTATCTTCAGGTAAGTATAACATCTACAAAACATTCTGAATAGCGTTTATAGGTGGCTAATTATATTGCTGTACAAAACCTCACACTGTTGTATCTCGTCTGGCCCCTCAATTCCTGGTAATTTGCAGGAAGGGGGATGATTTGTATCTATTGAGAAAAGAACCAGGGAGATGGGTATGCAACGTGAAGAATTGCTTTGCATAAATCTGTTAGCCCATAAAGCTAACACCTTTCTTGGTAGGTTTTGCTGTCACTTAGATGGGAAAGGACACACTACTTCCATCCTGTCTCCTTCTATTCATTACTTTCTAGACAACAGATCTGTCACATTTACCAGTTACATGGGAGAATGTGTTGGGGACAGCCTTAAGAGCTTTGACAACTGTGAACAGGCCTCCACTTCCACACAGAAATGGTAAAATGTGTGAGTCATAG